CCTCCCACCCCCCATTTTTTCTTTTCTCTCCTGGATCGGGCATCGAGGTCCCCGGGGACGGGGAAATTCTAAGAGCGGGCGCCACCCCCCGCGGTGCACGGGAGAGCTCTTGCGATCGTCCGGAGAAACGGCCCACGGAATGGGGGGGGGGGGTGGAGGCGCCGAATTAGCCCCCCCTTCCGGAACGACGGACCGATCAAGAACGCTCGATTTCCCGCTGCCATCCGCGAGGGGGGGGGGGGGGATAATCGCGAGGAGCCTGAATTGGGAGTTTCCCCCCCCCCGATTCCCCCCAACCGGAAACTCTCCCCTTCGATTGCGATCAATACGCCGGCAGGTCGGCACTTTCTTGGCCCCATCCCTCGCCGCCCCCCTCGGGAGCCACCGCGATTGCCCCAGCTGGGGTCGGGGGGTGGATGGAGGGCAGGGAGGAGGGAGGGGGCGGTGGCCCGAGGGTTAACTCGTGGAGGAGAGCAACCCGCGAGATTTCCCTCCGAGGGAGGCGAGCCGGAAGTCCTCGGGAATTAATTTATCAAGCCACCGGAGCGCCGCCCTCTCGACCCCGGCCCCCCTTCCTCCTCGTTCACCACCCCCCCGATGGCCGGCGTCTCAAAGGGGCGACATCCCTCCCCCCCCCCCGGCTCCGAAAGAGTTTACGACTTCTTCGCGAGCTTCGGTGTTCTCTCTCTCTCTCGCTCTTTTTTCTCTCCGAATCTTCTCTCCCCCTCTTCTCGTCCCCGTGCCGGGACTTTCACGGCCCCAGACGGGGGAGAGGGGGGAGATGGGGCGACTTGGCCGGGCGCCGCCGCGTAACCCCCCCGACCCGGGGGCAGGGGGAGGAGGATATCGCGCTTTTCTCGGCTTTCGCTCGACTTGCCCTCCCTCCCCCTCGTACCTCTTCCGCGATGGTCCGGCTTTCCTTTTGCTCTCGGTCCGCCCTCTTCGCCGTCCTTATGAGAATTTTCAAGAAGCGGATTCAGCGCGCTGAGCCGCGCGACCGCGCCGGGATTTCTCTCCTCTCTTTTTCCCCCCCTTTTTCGTTCCCTTTTTATTCCTAACCCTCCTTCGCTTTTGTGTCGCCGCGTAATCCGAGCGCCTCGGTTTTCAGCGGGTTCCGCGGTATTTCCTCGGCCACGAGCTCGCCCTCCCCCGGTCGAGGGGGGAGTTTTCTTTTCTTTTCTTTTTTTTTTTTTTCTTCATTTTTCATTTTTCCTCTCTCTTTCCGATGCCGCGACCCCGCGATCTTTCCCGCGACGGGCAAATTTCAAATTGCTCGGCTCTCCCCCTCCCTCTCCCACTGTTTTTTCCTATTTCCTTTTCGCGAACCGGGGTTTGATTTCCGAGTGCGATCTTGCGCCCCAGAGAGAGAGAGAGGCCTTCGAGGAGGAGGGCTGAGATGCGGGGAGGGGGGAGGTCGCTCGGTCTCGTCTTTGCGGATTTTAATTCGCCCCCTTCCCCCCAGTTTCCTCCCACGGGCATTTTCGCGCCCTGCCGAGAGAGGGAGGTAGCGCCGCCGATGCGACGCTTTTATGAGATTAAACATTCGTTTGCCCTCGGCGCCTCCACCGCCGTCGATACCAAGGATGGAGGGTTGGGGTCTCTCGCCCTAGCGCGGCCGCTCCGTCGGGTTCTCACCTGCTCCTCTCCCTCTCGCTCTCTCTCTCTCTCCCTCCCGCGAGGGGCCGCTACTTCTCGATCNGATATCGACGCCTTCGCCCCCGACCCGCGATAACGAGACTCCCCCTCCCCGTTAAGCCTCGCGGGGTGTCCCCCCCCACCCTCCCCGGGGTGCTTCAGAGTCGTTGGACGGGACGCAGGTGGGGCCGTCGGGGGAGGGGGATGACGACGCACCGGTAGCGCGCCAAGGCTTTGGAGGGTTCAGGGGTTGGCTTGGCGGTGGAGGCGCGCGTGCCGTTTCAGCGCCAGATGGCTTCGAGGAGAGAAAAGGAACGGGCGGGACGAGGAGGGAGTGAGAGCGATCGCCTCCGGTGGGAGAGCGAGAGAGACGCCGAGAGCGTCACGAGCGCGAGAGAGACGCCGTGAGCACCCCGGTGGTGGGGGAGAGAGAGAGGCAGGAACGGAGGCCAAGGGTTTCCAAGGGGGCACCGATGAGCGGGCGACGCCGCGATATATCGGCCATTTTGATCGCCATGGGTGGGCTCAAGTATCGGGAAAATAAGGGGACGGTCCGCGGTCTCTGGGCGCCGCCATCTTGAAATCTCGCGGCACTCGGTTATCCTCGAGTCATTCAAATCCCCCGGTGTGTTTAATCGGAGTTAACGCGGAAGCTTAAGGGATGTCACGCGGTGGGATGCTTCGCGTGGCGATTTCTTGATTTCGTTGAGGTAATTCTAGGGAACTGCTCGTTGGAGATTCTTTTAAAAGGGAACGCATTCGTTACCGATTTATTCTTGAGTTCGGAGTATATGGGGGTTGGTTCTTGGGTAAAATTTAATTTTAGGGTTTAATGGGGGGTTATTGTGGTTGGGGGTATTTACTGGCTTGGCTGGGCAAATTTCTTTCTTTTAAATATTTATCCTTGTGGGATCGAGTCGCGTCCCCGCTGTCGCGTCGCCCCTGCGCGCCGGGTGGTGGGGGTTGCGGCGCGGCAGGCGCGAGCGTCGATCGGCCGCTTCCCTTCAGTCGAGTGCCAGCCGCCGTCGGTCTCGCGTCCTCCTCGTGCCTGGGCCCGAGGTCCGTAGCGCGCGCGCGGACACCGCCGAAAGGGGGGAGACGAGGAGAGCGCCGCGTCGCGATGACGGCGCGCGTCGACGCCGTTCCGCTACGGCGATTCTTCGCCCGCTCCCGGCCTATTCCCGCCGCGACTCCGCGCCCGACGACGACGCCGACGCCGCAACGCGGCGCGCGATAATACGGATAACCCGCACACGTGTGTTCTATCTCGCGGCGTTTGCCGCGACGCTGATCGCGCCCGCCGACCAATTAGCCGCTTTCACGCCGCACTCGACCGCTCTCGCTCGATAACGCCTGCCGGTCGCACCGAGCGCGTCGCGCCGCCGCTTTATATACCGACAATGTCGTGTCCCGAGTACTCGAAATTCATATAAAAACGCGACCTACGTCGAGATCGATTTTCGACATCGTCGCGGTCACTCCGGATTCGCTTTTGTACAATTAGAATTTATAATGTCCGGTGTAGCGATATATAAATCACGCGCTCAATCGCGATATTAAATTTCCCCGCAATCTCGAATTTTAGTACAAATTACTCGGATGAGGCTCTAAACTCATTTTTAGTCAATATCGCTGGTACAAGGGCATATGCAACATATACCCTCAATTTTGTCCTCTTATTCAATTCTGATATACGTTGAAAACTTTTTTTTTTCCCCAGAAAATCGTAACGCGAATTATTCGAGAGATGGATCGGACTAGATTTTATGTCGAAAGGACGTCTTTAAATGGAAATAATAAATTTTAGCGATTTAACTTTCTTCGCGGGGTGGACGCGGCTTAACGAAGGGTCGGTGTGGACGCGGCTTTCGCTTCCGTCTCGCCGTGTTTACGCGCGGACGGTTTTACGTGCGCGCGCATGCCGTTCGCCTCCTGCCTCCCTCTCTCTCTCTCGCACCCCCGAGGCGCGGCGTGCGTCGGCTCTCGTCACTCGCGAGCCCCCGCCGCTTATCGGCGCGCGTTTTATTGCCCGCTAATCGGCCGGCGGGCCGCGAGCACGATGACACCGCCGAGCGCCGCGGCATCGAGGTGCGTCGCGACGCCTCGCGCCGCTAATTGGCCCTCCCGGCCGCGGCTATTTCCTTTTGCCCCGCGACCGACGAGGGGAGAGCCTCGCGCTCTCTCGGCGGAGATTTTACGCGACGTTGATTAGTTCGTTTTTTTTTTTTTCCTACTTTTATTTATTTTTCATTACCCGGAATTCATACCTTTGGCTCGAAAGAACTCAGAAGGAAGTTGCATATAATTCTCGTTCTTACTCTCGATGACCGTATAACGTGCGACGTCGATTGTAATTTTTTTTTTTCTTTTGTCTCAATACCACGGAATCCAAATTCGATCTCGCAATTCCGCGGCATCGCCCCACGTGTCCCGTTTATTAATCACGTGGAGGCGGCTATATACCGATGTTGCGTTTCTCTCGGTTTCAATTAATGCCCTTGTGTTAATGGACGTAACTTATATATACGTATATGTACTTACTTTTTTTTTTCTTTTTTTTCCCTTCATTTTTAATTTCGTGAAAGCTAGACCCGCATCTCTAAGCGCGCGCAAGAGAGAGAGGGAGATAGTACTCGGCGCGCTCGCGTCTTCATCCCCTCCCCTCCCCTTCTCTCCCCCTCCATGCGGCGAGATTCTAAGGATACCCCCATTGCAGTGTTCATCAGTGAAAGTAGTGCGCTCCCGGCGCTCGCAGGGGAAGGACTGTCCGCGAGAGAACTGCGCGCGAGCGAGAGCCGAGGTCGCCCCTCGAGGCGAGGAGTGTGAGTGCTTTCGTGTGCGTGCGCAAGAGAGAGGGGGAGCGAGGCGGCAAGCAGGAGGAAGACGAGGACGGAGAGGAACGGGCGCGAGGATGAGCCTCGGCCAGCAGGCGGTCCGGGGGGCGACTCGCCCCCGATGAGGTGTCACCTCCCCCCCGCGCACCCGCCCGTGAAGCCGAAGAGAGGGGAGATCGATCCTCGGCGGAGGTTCTCCCTTTTTCCACCCCGGTCGCCCTCTCTCCTCCCCCCCTCGCCGACTCGCGGATTTGGCGGCGAAAACGAGCGCCGAGTGCCACTCGGCCGTCGAGGATGGATTTTCGGGCGCCGCACCCCCTGGTGCACCCCTCCCACGCCGGACACCCCTATTACTATCCAGGTATTTGCGCAGAGATTTCTTTGGAGATCGTTCTCTTTCCTTTCTTGTTTCATTATTATCATTATTTTTTTTTNCCCCCCCCGCGCGCCCCGTTTTAACGCGAGCAATTTCTCGAGCCGTTGGATCGCCCGGGTTTTTCGCTCGCCCCTCCTTCCTTTCCTTTCTTTTCTTTTTTTTTCTTCTCTTCTCTTTTCCTCCTCCCTCCTACTCGCGGCGCGTCGCCTCCGTCCTCTTTCCACCGCGGTCCCAGCCTCCGCGGTGACTTTTTGCTTATGAATCCGCAGAAGGACGGGCTACGGATCGGCTCGTTAAACCCGCGTGAAAGTGGCCGGCGATCCCCTTTTAAAGCCCGCCACGGGACACGCCGCGGGATCGCCTTCGCGCCGACCGGTTCGCGGAGGCTCGATTTTGTTAATCAATAAATTAATATATACGTATATACGAAGGGGCGGAATAAAAATTGGTTACCCGGCGCCGTTCCCGCCCGAAGACGGTATCGGAGAGTACTTTACCTTTTTTTTTTTTTTATTTCTTTTTTGCCTTTTCAACATCGCTTGGCTTACCTTGAAATATTTAATCGAAGGGTGGCCGTCGCTCCATTCATATGATAAATTTTAATCCGTAAGAGGATGACCTTTGTTTTTCGTTTTTTTTTTTTCTTTTTTGTTTTTTCTGTCACCGCGATTCCGCACGAGGAAGGAGCTGAAAATGGTGGAAGGGGCGCGCGAGATGCCCCTCTCGAAACTTCCTAAAGATATGACTCCCCCTCCGTGCTGAGAGGGGGGATGGACCTGTCCGGGTAATCCGGGACCTAAATCGTTTCGCCGATATCGCGAGGCCGGAAGGTCTTCCCCCCCCTCGTGAAAACCCACTTGCCTTTTTCGCTCTTTCTCCCTCCTCCCCCCCCCCCAACCCCTCTCCTCGCTTCCGTTTCCTTCCTCGGGATTTCGGAGGGGCGGGAGGGAAAGGGCAAGGGGCTAACGGTTTTCCGACCCCCCCCCCTGTCCCCCGACGACCCTTTTATCTGTCTCTCGCCTCGTTGACCTCCCTCAACCTTCGAGGGCTTTCCGGAGTCACACCTCCGGTCGAGGTGGAGGGAATTAAAAGGTCAGCGGGACATCGGGGAGCGGATCCTCTCTCCTATTTTCTTTCTATTTTTTTCTTTCTTTCTTTCTTTCTTATTTCCTCGTTCACACTTCCCACGAGGCCCCCTTCCACGCCGAGTTTTCCCTCGACGTAAATGCGCGACCGAGAGAGAGGCCGATGCAAGAAAACTATACATATGTTTTTTTTTTCTCTCTCTCTCTCTCTTTTGCCTTACGAAACACTCGTTTATGAAATTATTCGATAACCCTTTCCGCAAACTCGGGCGGAACTTGGAAGTCGATCGAGGGAGCGGGGGGGGGAGGGGAGCCGGGGTAGCTCCCAGAGGCTCCGGGGTTAAATCCAGTTCCATTACCGGATCCATCCGATCCGGGTGGTCGCTAACAGCGGCTAACTCGGCTAATTCCCGCGTCCCCCTTCCTCGGCCTCCCCCCCCCTCCCTCCTTTCCTACCGCCTCCCGTCGCGGCCTCGTCCCGCTCTTACCGCGACTAAGCTAAATAATGCAACCCGCGCGCCATTCGGACTGCGCCGCGGCGCGACCCGTCGATAAAACAGGTCCCGCTCTCCGTCCCCTCGCCATATGCCGGGGCGGTCTCTCTCCCTACCTCTCCGTCGCTCCCGAGCGCGCGGGGTCTTCGCGTCCTTCTCTCGCCCTAGCGCGGCCGCTCCGTCGGGTTCTCACCTGCTCCTCTCCCTCTCGCTCTCTCTCTCTCTCTCCCTCCCGCGAGGGGCCGCTACTTCTCGATCTTTCACGGTCCACGCAAGGCCTCCTCGCCACTCCGACCGTAACGAAGTGGAACGCCCGTAAAAACGGGTGGAAAGACAATTAAGGAGCGAACGAGGAGAGCTTCGCGCGGGACGGGGGGGAGGGGGGGACAGGAGGGGGATGGAAGGTCGACTACCTACCGGTCTGATAAAGTCCATTACCTCCGACCACCGTCCCATCCGTGCTTCTGAATCCCCCCCCTCGTCTTCCCCATGGACTCTTAAATTCCGAATTCTCGTTCCCGCGAGGACACCTCTCCCCCCCCCCGCCCCCTTTCCCCGTTCCAGGATCACTTGCTACTTCTTTTTGAACGATGAAATCTTTAGGCAAATTGGGAGAGAGGTTAATCGATATTCGGAAGGGATGGAATTATTTTCACCGTGGAGGAAGCGATGATGGATTCTGGCGATGCCGGCCAACGGGAAGAAATATCGAGGGCGGAGAGGGGGGGGGGCGATTGCCTTGCCGCGCTGGTCCGGTTAGGTCTAATTGATCGGCTTGTCCTCTAATGTACCGCGAAACGAGAGCCGGAGATATGAAACGCGGCCTCTCGGGTCCTTCCGCCTTGGTGCGCCCGGGTGGGAGCTCTCTCCCTCTCTCCGTCGCACTCACGGCGTTCGAGTATGCGGGCGTCCTCGTTCCGCGTCGGTTCTCGCTCTCCCCCCGCCGGGGCCATGTGCTTCCGCCGAGTCGGCCGCGCTCGGCGGTACTCGGGTGCCCTCGCCGGCGATCGGTCGGTCGCGGACGGGCATTTTTAGACCGGCCGCCGAGGGAGAGAGAACCCCCGAACGCCGTCGCGGGTTTAGGGGTGCGCCTTTCGGCGAGATCGTTTCCATGGCTCCCAGCGCGCCCTCGGGAGCCGGAATAAACGACGGGCCCTCCCTCCCTCCCGCCCCCTCCCCCCCATAAGGACGCGGCGCTTTTTCAAGAGAGGACGCCCGAGGCGTCCCCCGGACCGATCGGAGACTAAGGAGAGAATCGGCTCTCGCCGAGAGAGAAAATTAACGGCCCAACGATTGTAATTATCGGAAGGTAAAATCGTGTGAGCGTGGATTTTTTTTTTTTTTTTTTTTTTTTTTTGCTGCCAAGCACACGCATATCTCGGTCGAAAACCCCTTTGGCATGGAAATAAATCCGAATGACCGAACGATGATTGAGTAACCGGCAGTCCATTTCGTCGGCCGGAATCAGGTTGGCCGGATATTTATACAAAATATATATTTACTTCCCTATGTATAAATACTTGTACCTACAGGCGACATTGCGAGAGTATTTTAACGATTCGATGGCGTAGGATCGCGCAGGTCGGCAGTAAATTGAATTTCCGGAATTCCTGAAATTCCGACGCGCCTTTCGCCGTCGCGGAATCTGCCAGCGAGGCGAATTTATTTATAAACGGAAAAACGGAGGAAATATCTCCCCGTGGAATTCGATAAACAGAGAGAATATTCGCCTTGACCGATCGCCCCGGAAATCGACATTGAACCTCCATTGACGGACTCAACTTGCAGGGAGAAGGGGACACTCGATTCATCGTTTATCTCGTCTTTCTCGGCGAGGAAAATCGATTTTCGCTTTTTACGGGTCGTCGTAAAAATATCACTTCGGTGTACCTCGGAAGCGCGAATCCCGACTTCCAGGACGGGCCGATACGAGGGGCCAGAAAGAGGAGAAAAGGACCGTTCCGGCAGTGCAATTCGGATAAGACCTCGTTGAATCACTTCGCCGGAAAGAAGGAAAAAAAAAACCGAAGAAAGTACGACCCGCCAGAAATGGATCGTAAAAACCGGCGAGGTTTTTAGCACCTCGAGGATTCGCGGAAGCCCGGAAGAGGTCTCTTTTCGTCCCGAGAGGTGCCAGGGNGGGGGCTGGGGGGAGGGCGTCGCCTCTTTACCCGGCTAGCTCGTTTGTCTCTCCGGTGGGCTCTTGTTTGTTAATTTTATTTACGAACGGCGCGGGGCAGGAGTGAGTGGGGGGGGGGGGCATCTCCCTCCCGGAACGCGGGGTATCATCGTAATCGCGCGTCCCTTCTCGGTGCTTTCCCTCGGGTCCTCCTTTGCTCTGTCCTCCCCCGCGCGCGGTCGGAAGTCCTGGGATCTTCTCTTTGTTTTTTTTTCTTTTTTCTTTTTTTTTACCCCATCCCCCTCTACTTTCCGTTGCTTCGAATCAGGCCGTTCGACTTTCCTCCGGCTCGGAGGACTAGGCGCGCGACCCCTCTCTTCGTCCCTTTCGACGGGTGTCCCGAGTTCTGGGGGGGTGGCGGGGGGAGTGGCGCTAAATGATTGCGCGTCTCCGGCGGCGGTGCCACCCCCCCCTCCGGCTTCCGGGCCGACGTGCTCGGGACAAAGGGTTGTTCAAACAGTCCTTTGTCCCCCCCGCCAACCCGGCGGGCCCTCCCGGAACTCCCCCACCCCCTCGAGCGACCCCAAGAGGAGCCGCCACCCTTTGTGTCTCGGCGGAGCGGCGTGTTTACGAGGACGTCGTTTGGTACCTGACGGGTTCCCTGCCCCCCTATCCCCCCGACCCCGGCGCGGTAATTTCCTCGGACTCGAGAGGGATCTTCCGAGAGGCTCCCTTACAACCCCCCACGGGGGGTGCGGGGCTCGAAACGTTTACCCACTCTGCCCCCCCCCCCTTTGGGGGGATTTTAATACGCCATGGTAAACGAGCCTCGGCCCCCCTCCACCTGAAGGTGCGATAGGGCGATGTAGGTCGGATCTCCCTCTCCCTCTCTCTCTCTCTTAATTTGTCCTTTCTTTCTTTGTGAAAGAGAGAAGGAGGACAGGTGAAGCGCACTTGGCGCGAGACTCTGCCCCGGCGTTTCCGGGGGACAATTTTCGCCCGGGGCGAGGGAAGGACGGTGGTGAGAGGGTGGGGGGGGGGGCTCGCGCCCCATGGCCGCGCAATAAATAACGGGCGTTTCGCATGATCGCGCAATTTATGGCTAATTCGTAATCATTAGAGTCACGCGAGCGCCCGTTATAAGGGCGGGGTTCGCATGTCGACTTCTCGCGCGGTGGGTGGATGGGCGGAGGGGGGCGACTTCGGTATGGTCGGCCCCCCCCCCAGCCCTCCCGTACCTCCCTCACCCGTTCGCGTATATTTCATCGGATTAACCGCGCGACGGCT